GCGGCGGGGGCGGGGGCGGAGGCGGCTGGGGCGGGTGGTGGTGATGGTGGTGGTGTGTGGCAGCGTGATGATGGTGATGGTGGTGGTGTGGGTGATGGGGATGGTGGGGATGCAGGTGACCCGCGGAACCCGCTCCCGGCGCGCCCTTGGTGCTTCCAGCATGCAGGTGAGCGTGGTCGGCGCGCAGCACCTTGAAGCGCTTGCGGCGCCGCAGGAAGCTGCCGTTCTCAAACATGTCGCCGCAGTCGGGGTGCAGCGCCCAGAAGCTACCCTTACCCGGCTGGTCTGGCCGCCTCGGGATCTTGATGAAGCAGTCGTTGAAGGAGAGGTTGTGGCGCAGGCTGTTCTGCCAGCGCTGAGTGTGCTCGCGGTAGTAGGGGAAGCGCTCCATGATGAACTTGTAAATGTCGCTCAGCGGCAGCATCTTCTCCGCCGAGTGCTGAATGGCCATGGCCGTCAGCGAGATGTACGAATAGGGCGGCTTTTGGTCACTGTACGAACTCTTTCCCGGCCGCGGCATCGCCCCCAGCTCCTCCACTACCCTCCGGCCCACAGTGGGCCGCAGCGCGGCTCCGCACACCACTCCCGGGGCCTGGATGCCCTCACTAACTCCCACTCCCCCGGTCCAGCTCAGCCACCCCTCCCTCTAGCCTCTCAGGCCCGCTCAGCTTCTTTTCCCCGCCTTCTTGGAGTAGCCGGGAGTCTCCGCGCTTGGTCTTTCGGGCCAACTCCGCTCTAGGACGCCCGCAACTTCTGGTCCGGACGGTCGCCGACAGGCGCACACAGTCGCGGGAGGGGCGCGCCAGCTTTACCGTCGCCTTCTCTGCGTATTCCCCTGGGTGGCCAGAGAATGAATGCTGGAGCAGGAGGCGGAGGAGCGAGTGGCGAGGGGCCGTTTTTCTTTGTGGCCTCTTCTTTGCCTTTTCTCGGCCCACGGAAGCCCACGGCAAATTGCCTGGAAGGAAGAACTGGATAGTGGAGACTCTAGCTCTTTAAACCCGAGTTTGCATTAGATGACCTGGAAGCCAGAGGTGGCGTGATTTCAGGCGCCCTGGGCGCTGCCCCTTAGCCCACTGCTTAGTCCACGAAGGAGTTCTCGTTTTTTTCCTGGAGAAGAGAGATAAAGTAAGGAGAGAGAAGCACCTCTTCTGGAAGCCAGTGGCCCTCCCTGTTTCTCTGGAGATTCGCAGCGGGGCTGAGGATGGAAGAAACACCGATCCCTAGGCGGTCGCTGCGGGTAAAAAGTTTGGTGGTTTCTGCAGCAGCGGCGCCTTCAAGCTCTGCAGAGGAGCCCGGGTGCAGGACGCTAGGCGAGAACGGCAGGCTGGAGGGGGCGCCTGCGAAGGACAGGCGAGTGCCTGACTGGCCCAGGCCAGCTCAGCGGTCCTCGCTGCAGCTGCCGTTGCTCTACCGGGCGGGTCTTGAGAAGAGGAGGCGGCGGCTGTGGCGGCGACGCGCTCTCCTGGCTGCGTTTTGTAATAGTCCCTGAGACGCCTAGACCCCCGCAGCTCGCGCTTCGAGACTATCACATGACCGAGGCTGAGGGACTCCGCCGCCGCCGCCGAGTCTCTAGCTGAAGAAGGGGCGAGAAGGCGCAGAGCCTCGCCCCCGCCCTCTCCCGTACCTTCATTCGGAAGCCCCCACCCTTGCGTTCAGCACCGGCTCGGCAGCTCCAGCCCCAGCCCAGTGGGGCGGGGAGCGCATCTTGTCCTCTGGGAGGGGGTACAGGGCCGGTGCAATCCCCGCTGTGGCTCCAAACCGGGGCTACGACGCGTAGCACGGGTGGGAGTTGGAGTAGGGGGGAACTGGACACTGCTTTCCCGCTCCTCTACTCTTCTGCATGCCTCCTCCCCTTTACCCTTTCCTTTATCGGCTTTGAGCTTCTCTGTTGCTAGCCACTCTAGGTCAAGTTCGGAGCATACGTCCTTAAGGTCTCTTTTCTGAGAGAAACCTCGCTGTCCAGAGGGTTGGAGAGAAAAGTTAACAGGGAGGAGAGATTTGGGGGCATTTCCGACAAATGCCAAGTTCATCACTCTTTTTTTTGTGTGTGTGTGCGTTCTGTATGCACGTCAGGCCCAGTAATCTGCGCCAAGCAGAGGGGGAGGCACCAGACAGTTCTCTGCACTCCAGGACCGCGGTCTAAAGGGCAATACCGAAAATAACCAGGAAATTAGGATAGCTCTGGAGAATGGAGGCTTCGCCAACAATTCCTTGGAACGGGTGGATCCGATAGGGTGAGGTTTCTCAAGGTGTATAAACTGGGGATAGAAAGGAGTTGAGAGCTTAGGGATCCCATCACTTAAGTAGGCAGAAGGAAGACTTTGCATTATACTTAGAATGGAAAGGGAGATAATTAAATTAAATAGGAAGCCAAAATTAGCAATCCACAGGGCTCAGGTCTGAACCATGAGTGAAAGGTGGAAAAACCAAAACGCTGAGATCCCAGTGCTTACAGTTTCCCTGCTCTGCATTTCATTCTCTCACTCAGCAGCAAATGACAGCTGCCTGCAGGAAGGACCTGAAATTATATTCTGGTTTCGGGTACTATTACCCGTAAGCCATGCGGGAAATTAGAGTTTAGAAACAAATATACTCTGTTTTATCTCTGGGCTTCACTTTCATTATTTGTGAAATGAGATGTCCGAAGTTGGAAAATTTCAGGTTCTTTTTCAGTTCTGTGATTTGAGGAGAAAAGAGCAGTTAGAAACGAGGGCTCACTGGATGGTTTTTAATTTCTTATTTTCTCTGCCTAAAACCTAAGGCAGAAGGCCATCAGCCTAGTGGTTTGTGGCGCCAACCCTCGATTTTGGTGACACCAGATCGGGGTTTTTCACCTTCTGACTTTCGGTAAGCTGCACGATGGGAGTGTGTTTGTTGGTCGGGTTGCTTAGCGGAAACAGGTGTGCAGTGAAGAGGCCGGACTCCTGATTTTAGCCAGGAGGTAGGTTTCTGGCTAATAGTGTTTGGCCAATTTGTTTTAGGTCAGCAGACATCTTAGAATAGTGTTAAGGTGAAGCGTGCAAGAGGGTCCAGGAGGAAAAAGTAGCCTCTTGGCCTAGCCTAAGAAAGGAGACTCATTCGCTGTCACTTCACCCAGCAACGTTCCTCCCGCTAAGAAGTTTGTGTAGGATTTTTGATTCAACGAGACAGTTTAAGGAACCGAGCAAGGGACGTTTTCCAGTCCTCTCAAGCCACAGAGGAATTCCAAAGATGCCTATAGTTAGAGCCCGCTGGAGCCCTGGAGCCGGGTCGCCCCTACTTCCTTGACTCTGGCGCTGCAAGAAAAGTTCTGTCCTACCCAGGAGGCTGGGGCCTCCCTACCTCTGTAAGGGCGCTTCCCGGAGCCCACGCACAAAGCGAGTAATCAATCTGGGTCCGACTTTATATGCAGCTCATGCAAAGGGATCTTTTGTAGACGTTTCTCGAGGACATCCTGGCACTACAACGCCTCCTTTTTGGAGCAGCTCAGGGGACGTTCCCCTTAGGCAAGTGGGCGCAGAATACCGGGAGAATGAGGAAAGGGAAGGGTCCTTCAAGGGCGCGCGAGGCAATACTTATGGGCGTAACAGGAACCCTGAACCCTAAAGCTGTGAGTCAGGTACTCACTAGGTAAGCTCGGTACTGGCGGCGGACCGTTGTCACACCTCAGGTTGAGGCCTAGGGACGCAAACCGCTGGGCCAGAGCCTTCTGCTTAAGCGAGCAGTGTTCCTCTGGCCGGTTCGGTCCAACTTGGGCCAAAATAGAACCGCTACAGCCCAGCAAAGAGCCCCAAGTCTCACGCTTCTGCATCAGGATGTACTTGGCAAGGGTACAAGAGCAGGCAAGGTACACAGAGCAGGCAAGGGAGTGGATCTGGAACCCCAGGGCACCATCATTTTGGACACGGGCCCGCTGCTACCGCCGCAGTGAATCCTGGGGCATCCCTGCCAAGGAGCTTGGGCCGCCGCGGGGGTGAGCTCTCCTTCTCTCCAGCCTCCTTCCCCAGAGGTTGATTTAATTCCGGCAAGTTTTGCAGGCGCGCAGCAGCACCAGTGGAGGCCAGAACGTGCGCGCTCCAGCTGCCTACAGACCCTTGATCGAGAAAAACAGATCGTGTAACCAAGTCGGCACCAACCAGTCGGGCTTAAGTTTCCGCGTGTAATTTTTTTTTTTTAAACAACTACTACACTATCTAAATATTGGCTGGAGCTGAGGATGCTGGCAGGCAAATCGCTGCCCCAGGCTTAGTGTAATTATCTCAGGCGTATTTCGTTTACTCCTTAGGCAATTGTTGGCGACGCTTTTCCAGGAAGAGGGGTTTCGTGCGAGGTTTTATTGCGTTTAATTGGCTCTATGGAAGGGAGTAAAAATCTGCCAGAAAAAAGACGTGGAACTTTAGGAGCGGCTATATTCATTCTCACTCCTCTTCGTCCCTAGTCCCAGGGGTACCCACGCACTCCCTAGCCTGAATCTAGGCCAGGCTTTCCTAAGGCTCCGCGGACAGCTGTTCCTAGCCAGAAGAGAACCTCAGGTCACTGGCAGGGCTAGGACAATGTGCAGGATTGGGATGAAGGCAAATTGACGGGCATATCTCGATTCCATGAGTTCTCTTTTTAACTCACTGACCTCTGACGTGGGGAAAGTTAATAATGTTGGGGGTCCTTCTAGGAGCCTTCACGGTAACCCCACTCTACCTCTCGCCTGACCTGCCCTTGAAGGGAAGCTCATACTTTCCGCAGCCACATCGCCCAAAGTGGACCCAAGGGTGTGAGAAACCCGCCCCAGAGCAAGGACTGCCGCCCCAGTCCTGGCACCACTGGCTGGATGACCCTGGAGACATATTTCCTTTCTTTGAGTTTCGTTTTCTTTCCAGGAAATTTGTAGCTGTCAGAACTGAGGCTATAAAAACCTCGTGCTCTAAGGAGCTGAGGTTTGGAGTTGTGATCAAGACTTTGGAGGGGTATCTAGAGCCTGAGCACTCCCGACGGAGAGGTCGGGACCTATAGCCCTGGACGTGGTGGGGCAGTAGCACTGTCCTTCCTCCACGCAACAGCCAGCGTCCTAGGAATCTGTCACCTCCAGCATACCAACGGACTCGGCAGCCTTGAGGAGTGGATTTCTGCCCCAGCGATTCCAGCTGGTCAGTCTCTGCGCTGGACCCAGCAGACGTCTGGTGCACCAGTATAACTCTGGTCCTACTTGGATTTTGTGTGCAAAAGCTTGATTTCTCTGACTTCCCGCAGGTGAAGGACAGAAGTGAATATACTGGGCCGGAGGGTATTTATTTTTTAGAGAATAAAAGCACTGGCCTTGAATTTATAAGAGGAGACTAGAGCTCCAATTCGCCACCTACTGGTTGTGTGACTGTTTTGTTAAGCCTCAGTTTCCTCTTCTCTAAAATGGCGATAACCCTGTTTGTTGCCATTTTGGTGTGAATATGAGGAGTGAGATTATTATGGTGAGATTACTAGAATGAGTGCTGGAACACTCATCCAGCAAACATTGGAGAGCTTACTGTTTGCTGGGCGTGAGAAAACGTTTTTTGAAGTGTAAAGCATGATACAAACGTTAGGTGTTTATACATTTCCATGTGCACATGTTTTCCCCTCCCCAAACGACTTGTTCCCAAAAAGAATGAAAGAAAATGGAGCTTGAGAACTGTGCGCTAGTGGGTAGACGAATCTGGTGTTGAAACCCCGGGAGACTGGCCGGATGCTGACTGAAGATCGCTCATTCTCGTACTTGCACAGACATAAAAAGCCAAGTTTTCGTTTTCCAAAGTTTCTAGCACCATTTACCTGAAGGCAGAACAGGCTCAATGTGTGTGTGTGTGTGTGTGTGTGTGTGTGTGTGTGTGTGTTTGTGTGAGAGAGAGAGAGAGAGAGAGAGAGAGAGAGAGAGAGAGAGAGAGAGAAGGGTTGTGGGCGGGGGTGAGGGGAGCCAGAGCTGGGGTCCAGTGCCAGCCACAGACTGCCAGGGAATAATGCCAGATCGCCCTGGGAAATCCTTTGGCTTGGTGCTCCACCTCCTCATTGACCCCTGGTCTTCCTTTGATGGAATCCCTCTTTGCTTAAGAAATTCATGCAAAGATCCCAGATACTGCCCCGAGTCTTCAGTAACTTGACCCTTAAGACTCAAGCAGTGGAGGCGACTTTCCTTTGGAACATCACAGCAACGGGTATCAACTTTCCTTGCTCCTGGGAGTGCGCAGCCAGCGCGAAATTGGGGAGACTGTGTGTCATTCTTGCTGAGCAGACCCTTTATGCATCCACCTTCTATCCCGCTAGCATCTAGAATCTTTCCTCCTGGCTCTGTGTGTTTCCATAAGAGCTGACAATAATCGTCACCACCAAATAACCAACAATTTAAAAAATAAATAAATAACTTTCTTGCGCTTCCTCCGACGAGTAATAACAAAGACTCTGCACATCAGCAACCAGGTGTCGCGGTGAAACTCCTGACAGTAACTGTCTTCGTTTTCAGCCAGCCAGTTCTGGAATACATTACATTAATTAAGTCTTTGGTGATTTAGCCTCCTTGGAGAGAAGTCCAACAATGTAATTAAGAGCATACTGGCTATATTAGATATGAATATTCAAAACAGTGTCAATTAATTAGCCAACAGATCTAGCTCACTATGCCTCGAAAGCCCCTGAAGTCCTCTAAGATACATTTAAAGGGTCATCGGCAGGAGAAGGGGGTAAAGAATATTAAAGAGGTGGGTCCAGATGATCTCTTCGTTCCACATAAACATTTTCTAATGATGGCGATTTATAACGTCCCTGACATGAGACACCGCACCTTTGGGCACGTGGTACTGTGTGTGTGTGTGTTTGTGTGTGTGTGTGTGTGTGTGCACGTGTGCGGCGCACTGGTGGTAGTGGTGGCGGTAGTTGGTGGGGGGGGGATGTTGATCCGTTGGAGCAAAGATCTTTTATAATTAAAATGAGAAGGCATCCAACTGGAAGGGTCTTCTTAGAGGCACCAAGAGGCTATCCATTGTACATCCTCTCAGACA